CAGTGTTCCTTAAAGCACAGGAGTACATCTTTCTGTTTCAGGCAGTGGGAGAGGTGGGAAAAGTTTGCAAAGAAAGAAATGGGCTTATCCTAAAGAAGCATCTGTGCTTTCCAAGCTTTCAGACTTCTTGTTCTGTGGAGGGCAGCCCTTCCTCAGTATGTGCTGGCTATTTGTAAATGTATGTGACATGATCAAGGTTAACCTTCACCAAATGTTAGGCCAAGCAAATCCAAAGGCCTTCGTTGGGACAAGGAGTTGACGTTAACAGTTGATGTTCTGAGTTTTGAGTTGGGAGGAGCAGAATCACTGTGGTGGTGCCATTTGAAATGAGAGATTTTGATAGTTAACTGCAAACAAACCTATTATGATTGCATTCTTCAAATGTGGTATTTGTAGTTTATTCAGAAAAATGTGACTTTCAAAAGTATTGACACTTCAGCTAACTTCTTGCCTTGTGGTCCTTAGACTTTGGGATAATTATCTTCTGTTTCTCATCAAAAATCACAAAAGGTTTTCTTGGAAAAGGGCTGTGCTTTGCAGTGTACATTGATACTGCCTACTTCTGTCATTTGTCTTAATCCTTTGAAGTATTATGGTCCTTCAAATCTTTGAAAGTCATATTGTTTCTATTAAAAATAAAAAAAGCATTTGTGTTAAGAACTCAGTCTTAGTTTTTTTTTTTTTTTTAATCCCTGTTGAGAGCTAGAGGGTGTGACATGGGATTGAGATCGAAAACCCAGAGTACCAAGGTTGAATAAGACTGTGAAGAGGCTGGCTGCTTATTCTGATATATTACTATATAGAATATCAGATGCTTTGCACTCCTTACAGCTACAGAGCTTTATCTTACATCCTTTCTTTTCAATTTACCACCCACAAGACAGTTTATCACATTATTTTGACTGTAATGTTCATGACTTTTTCCCTCTAAAGTAAATGCTTCCCAAGTTCAGTTTCAAGATGAAGTTTCATTTAAATGCCCCCTTAAATAATGTAGGTTGTATTTGCCTGAAGTTTAATGAATAAGAAACCAACCAAGTCAATTATAGAAATAAAACCCTATAGATGGATATTGGAGCTAAGGAGGTAGTCAAATTGGCAAAGTGCTTGCCTTGTAGGCATCAGAACCGGAGTTGCATCCCCAAAAACCATGTAAAAAGAAAAAAGCTAGACATGGCAGAATAAGCTCTGGCCTGCCAGTCTAGTCTACTTGGATAGCTCCAGGCAAGTTATAAAGACAATGTCTCCATAAACAAGGTGCCTGGAACCAGAAGAAGACCACCTAGGGCTGAACTCTGGCCTTCAAGTGCGTACATATGATGTCACTCCCCTATCTGCAAGAGTATAGACACAAATGTGTACACAAAGACAACTTTATTAGCTAGATTGCCCAAACACCACCAAGTACCAGAGTTTGACATTGTGTTATATTTGTAGGAATATTTTTTCTTTTACTTCAAATATACTAAAAATCTTTACTCCCCTTATCCTTATCTCAGCTCTGGTGCAAGTTTGATGATTGTTAGATTTGTTTAAATTGTACTAAGATTTAAAAAATAACCATAAGTTTATGTTTTAAAAATTATAGGAGGGAGAAGAATTGTTTCTTCTTCTGGCAGTGTAAGGTGTGCACTGAGGTTAAGAACAATGGCAGAGGAAGTTCTTTCACTCCATTGAACACAGAAATTGCCTGTGAAATGAGGGAAGGCGGTGACTTTTGGCTTTCTCTTTGTAGGTGATAAATTAGAACAATTTCTTAGGTCCCTAAATAGCAGCAAGCCTCTCTACCTGGGACAGACTGGCCTGGGGAATACAGATGAAATTGGAAAGCTGGGGCTGGAGCCTGGGGAGAACTTCTGCATGGGAGGACCTGGCATGATCTTCAGCCGAGAAGTTCTCAGAAGGATGGTGCCTCACATCGGCGAATGTCTCAGAGAAATGTACACCACTCACGAGGACGTGGAAGTGGGTCGCTGTGTTCGCCGCTTTGGTGGGACTCAGTGTGTCTGGTCTTACGAGGTAAGCCTTGAGATGTGACAAATACACGGGTGCATGCCACTTCATGTCCTGGGCAACAGTCCTGTCTCTTCTTTGCTTATCTTTATTTGCTTAAATAATTCACAGTAGTCGTCTTTATCAATTTGGGAATGATTGTGGGATCCATCTTTTTTATTGGACCCAAAACCTATCTGAGGTCTTGCTGTTCGCATGAATATTAACTTTGAGCAGATTTTGGTTTTATCTCTGTGAGATACAATTCCCCCTACCCCTTTGTATTTGCTTTTTCTGGTGTTTACATGCATGTGTATTCATTTGATGTCTCTAACAGGAGGGCTAATTTTAGTTCTTTCCGGTATAATTTTTATTAGTTGGTACTGTTCCAACACTTGTTTTTCTTATTTACATGATAACAGCCCTTTGCTTTCACATGGCTAAAATTTGGTTTCTTTGGGAACTTTCAAGTGGTAATTGAACACTTAGTGGGAGGTCAGCAATATGTCATTCATAATAGGTTCATTTCCACACTTTAAACACTCTGTTTGATAGTGTGTGAGCAATCTGGGGAAATGGCTGAGGGTGTCACATAACTGCATTTTCACTTGTTCTCTAGACTTTATTTATGTCTGTTTTGGTGACAATTTATCAACAGCCAGACTTATTTGAATAATCAGAGGTATGGACTGTTATGACATGGTTTTTTTAACTTTTCCCTTTAGAATTTGACTTTGAAATCAAATGAATTGTCCTTTAAGATTTCCTGAAAGATAATCTTAGTAACAATTGATTTGACTTTTAAATAATATATTGCAATTTTAATGCAGTTTTGTTTTCAGATATTTGAAGTTTAATCTGATTTAACCTATGCAGTGGACACTGTTTAAAACTGCATTTTAACTTTTTTGTTTTCTTAAACAATTTTAGAAATTTAGTGTGGAGGACATATTTTATGAAAATATGTTTCACGTGAAATGATTGTACCTCGAAGTTCTATAGTATGGTTCTTTTTTTTTTTTCTTACAGAAGTATAATATCACTTTAGTTTATTTAGTTTTTTAAATAAAATGTTTTGTGATACAATTCAATGAGTTATTCTGAATAATCATTACACACAAGGACTTCCTGATAATTATGGTTTTGGATTATGTATTAGGCAAATCTAGATGATTATGTAAATAGTTCCTTTTAATAATAAAATAGCAAATTTTATTTTATAAAACTGTCCTTTAGCTTTGGTAATCCATTCCTGTAATTCTAACACTTGCAAACCTGAAGAGGGAGGACTGTGAATTTGAGGTTAGCCTGAGATGTGTAGTCAGACTGTCTTCAAAAAAAAACAGAACAACGGTATTTAGAAGAAGGTTGACAACAAAGCGTTAGAGCTTTTATCACTAAAGGTGACTTCACTAACTCAATAAAAAATTCTCTCCACAATAAAATTATGTGTGTAAGGCAACACATGCTTAATGTATAATGTATGAAATATATTCAGTTAATTTTTGTTTCGTTTTGTTTTTTCGAGACATGGTTTCTCTGTGTAGCTTTGTAGACCAGACTGGGCTCGAACTCACAGAGATCCACCTGCCTCTGCCTCCCAAGTGCTGGGATTAAAGGTGTGTGCCACCACTGCTCAGGTCCATTCAGTTAATCTTATGGCAAGATAAATTACAGTATGTTTGGAATGAATGAGTGAAAACAAAAGGGAGAAATATGTGGGGCATTTTTTTTTTTTTATAATTTACTGCTGTAAATTAAATAGAAAGTTTCAGCAAACTATCTTTTATTATCTTCCACATTTTCATTGATCCTTCAATGAACATCCAGGCTTTAACTAATGCTTTATCTGCTCATGTTCCATGACGGGAAAACGTGCTCAAGTGATGTTGGAGCTCTCTTTTAGGCTGTAATTTGGTGATGTTTCTAGTAACTTTTGCAGTATGTTTTCATTTGGAATGACACTTGCCCATCACTGACTTCAGCATCTCTATTGATAGATCATTTCAGCGTTCTGTTCTAGCGCTGGAAAAAAATAAGTCTCCTGAATGAACTACTGAGCAGCTCCAAGGCCTTCATAGAGTGTTTAGCCTGTGGCAGGCTATTATCACATCGTTGTCTCAGAGCTGTACACTGTGCCTATGGTCCCACATCGGGAGCTGTATAATATAGCACAGATTCATAAACTTTACTCACATTACAGTCATTTATGATGTTGATTCATCTGTGCCAAATGAGTCCCACCCAAAATTAAAACTTTTAGCTACAGAGTCCATGCTTTCACGATCTTTTTGACAAAACATTGGAAAACTGTATTCTCTTTTATTTAGAAATTATAAAGAATCCAATGGTAGTAAACTGGCCGTGAAACTCAGAATGCTTCTAAATTGCATTATAATGTGGCCAATTAAAAGAGAATATATGGAGTATATTATTTAAATGTGCATTGTTCAAGTATCTTAAACAAGTTAGACTCTATCTACATAAGGAAAAACGACTCAACTAATTCCTAGATTAGTTTGTAGAGCTCTGTTCTGTTTCCTGAGATTTTTTTTTAAAGTCTCAACAGGCAAACGAGTTAGAGCTGTCCCTGTCTACCGTCACTCCCACAAACACCTAGGGACTCTTTTCTTTCTCCCTTCTTATTCCAGAAAAACAAAACAAAACAACAGCAAAATACCTTTCCTCTTACAAAATAAAAACTTTACATTTACCCAGAACCTTCTATGTAAATGTTGTAGCAATTGTTTTTAATAGCCCCATACTGCAGACCACTCGAGTGATGTTCAGTAGGCCAATCTGCTTAGTTTTCAGGAACTTATCTCTTTAGGCAGCTGACAACTTCTCTTGGTGTATCTTGGAACTTTGAGACACTAATGTGTAACTTCAGTACCTAGTAATAAGATTCCAATAGTCCCAGCACACATGTTTGGCAGATGGCCTCTTCTCGTCTCCATATCTACTCCCCAAGCTACAACCTTGTCTCTCATGGCACAGAAAGCACCTGATGCCATTGGATAGTCTAGGTGGATATTTTCCCACTTGGGACTGAAACACCCATTTTTCAAGCTGTTAAGGCCCAAGGACTTCCCAGGTGGCTGTTGTATTCTCACTCACCTCTGGTACTGTGTATAGATTGTGTTTTATTAGAAGGTGATTTTGTTGTACTCAGCTCTGTGCTAGCATTGATTGGCACCTTCTGCTGGCTAAGATCACTTTTCTGGTGGAGCTTTGACTTGGCTGTTGTTGATCTCTGCTGCCTTAGGAGGCAGCAAATGGCTCTCAGCATTGCCTAGCCTGTGGTGGTTTTAAAGTTTTGTGCTTTTAGTTTTGTTTTCTGATTCCTTCAGCAAAGACAGGCAGTTCTCTTCATGTCTCATCGGACACCAGGATTTTTATTGTATATGTCTGGCTCAAGCTGAAAAACACTATACTATTTTTTTTTTTACTAGACAACCCCCAGGCTACAAATTTTCCGAGATTATTTTCCATAAAATGAATGGCTTTTGGCAGTAAGAGTAAAATTTACATTTTAAATACTTTGTCGTGCAGATTACATGTAATGGTTATTAACCACAAGTCCCCACTAATGCATGGGTGTCACATTAAGGAAAGAAATAAATGCACTTCTCCTTGGATTTGATTAAACAAGAACAAGTCCTAATTGGAATTGTCATTCTCCCTGTGTCTTCTGTCCTCTGTTGTTGGAGTCCAAGTCTGTGTGCTTGTATCTGTTTTTGTCCGTGTGTTTGTCCATCCCTCACAAAGGGCTTTGCTCTGTCTTTATTGATCATCATGGAAAGTATCACATGAGGAAGGGATGGGAAACTTTACACAAATCTTCACAGACTATTTACAAGGGATTAAGTCACTGTTTTCAACTGATCCCAAGGGACCCTAATAAAAGCATCATTGTTTATCAACCAATATTCATCAACAGTTGCTTTCAAACTTTATGGTAGGGTTTTAGAAGTTGTTTTCAGCTTCTGTTTTTGCTGCTTTCAGAAATGATACACATCTGGGTCAGGATCTTGGAAAAGTACATAATTTAAGATTACAGCTATACATAATTTTATATTGTAAATTTGTTTACATGGGAACTCCAAGGCAAGTAGGATAGGTTCTTATACTGGTCTCTTAAAAGCAAGTTAAACAAACAACTTGAGTACATAGTAGGCTAACTGTCTTAAGTAACTTTAAGGTGTGTCATTGACTCTGGCTCTGAAGTCCAGAAAAAGTTCCAGGCTCTTAGAATGTTAGAGATGCCTTCAGAATATTGCATTGCTACCCTTTGTAAAAGAGTCAATATTTTTTTTTCAGAAATCCCCATTTAAAGTTTCATATCTATTTTATTGTAAATTAGCTTATTTATATACTCATGCTTAGTTATTAGCAGTACTGAATGCTTTTATTTAATACTATCACTCATATTTAAGCATTGAAATAATTTTATTATCAGTAATATTCTCACCCTGTGACTTCTGCATTTGATCATCAAAGATCAGTTGAAGACTTAGATTTTGTCATTTGATTTTTACAGTAAAATAAAGCCAGGGGAAAAATATATAATTCAACTGCATGCTATTTCAAAAGCCAGTTCTACGTTGGTAAAAAATATTTTTCTGTGGCTTTTAATAATCATTTCCCATGACTAAACAGAATTTTATTTGACTCTTTCATAGTTAACTTTACGCCAGAAGTCTGATGTTCACTTTTGGCTCATTAATGGCTATAAAAATCATAGTGAATTGTATTATGTTACAAAAGGTTATATTTCACAAGTTGTCCCTGAGCTTTTAAGTAAACCCAGAGAGCTGATACATTAAATTCTATGTGAAGTTTTCATATCATCTTTTAGGTTCAAAATATCTGTGCCATTCTCAGGATGCTTTCCCACATATTTCTTAGTTTCTTCCTGGTCTTTGTGAATTATTATTCCTCCCCACTCTCATTTTTTTATTTGCTTTTATCTTTCTCTTCTCTACCCCCACTCCCATCTGGTATTTTCTTGAGTGTTTATAGGTATG